TATAATTTTACGTATGTGTTGCTGTATTCTGTTAGCTACTATTTTATTGAGGATTTTTGCATCTATATTCATCAAGGATATTGGCCTGTAGTTTTCTTTTTTAGTTTTATCTTTACCTCGTTCTGGTATCAGGGTGATGTTTGCTTCATAGAATGAGTTTGGGAGAGTTGCCTCTGTTTCAATTTTTTGGAATAGTTTGTAGAGAACTGGTGTCAATTCCTCCTTAAGTGTTTTTTAGAATTCTGCTGTGAATTCATCTGGTCCTGGGCTTTTCTTTGTGGGAGTCTTCTGATAACAGCTTCAATCTCTTTTATTGTTATTGGTCTGTTCAGATTTTCTACATCTTCTTGGCTCAGTTTTGGTAGTTTGTTTGTGTCCAGAAATTTATCCATTTACTCCAGATTTTCAAATTTGTTGGCATATAGTTGTTTATAGTAATCTTGAATGATTCCTTGTATTTCAGATTTATCAGTTGTAACATCACCTTTTTCATTTCTAATTTTTGTTATTTAGGTCTTCTCTCTTCTTTTTTTATTAAGCTGTGCTAATGGTTTGTCAATTTTATTTATCTTTTCAAAAAACCAACTTTTGGATTCATTGATCTTTTGTATTACATTTTGGGGGTTTCAATTTCATTAAGTTCTGCTCTGAATGATTTTTTTCTGTCTGCTTACTTTGGGTTTGGATTGTTCTTGTTTCTCTATTTCTTTAAGGTAAAGTATTAGGTTGTTCACTTGCCATCTTTCCATTCTTCTGAAGTAAGCTTTTAATACAATGAATTTCCCCTTTAGTACTGCTTTTGCAGTATTCCACAGGTTTTGGTATGATGTATCATTGTTTTCATTAGTTTCAATAATTTTTTGATTTCCTGTTTGATTTCTTCTTGGACCCATATGTCATTAAGTAGAATGCTGTTTAATTTCCATGTGTTTGTATAGTTTCCAGAATTTCATTTGTTATTGATTTCTAATTTTAATCCATTGTGGTCTGAAAAAATACATGGGATAATTCCAACTTTTTTGAATTTGTTGGGACTTGATTTGTGACCTAACATGTGATCTATCCTGGTGAATGATCCATGTGCTGATGAGAATAATGAATATTCTGAGGTTGTTGGATGGAATCTTCTGTAGATATCTGCCAAGTCCAATTGGTCTAGAGTGTTGTTGAGATCTTGTGTTTCTCTGCTGATTCTTTGCCTAGATGATCTGTCCAATATTGATAGTGGGTGTTCAGGTCTCCTGCTGTTATGGTATTAGTGCCTCTTTCCTTGTTTAGGTCTAATAGAGTTTGCTTTATAAATCTGGCTGCTCTGACATTGGGTGCATATACATTTATGATTGTTATGTCTTCTTGATGGATGAATCCTTTTATCATTATGTAGTGGCCCTCATTATATCTTTTTATGGTTTTTGGTTTAAAGTGTATTTTATCAGATATAAGAATAGCTATTCCAGCTTGTGTTTCATTTCTGTTTGCATGGTAAATATTTTTCCATCCTTTCCCTCTTAGTCTATGTGAGTCTTTATAGGTGAGGTGGGTCTCCTGAAGGCAGCATATAGTTGGGTCCTCCTTTTTAATCCAGTCAGCCAGTCTGTGTCTTTTGACTGGGGAATTTAATCCTTTTACATTAAGAGTTGTAATTGAAAAGTGTTGATTTACTCCCAGCATTTTATTGATTTTTGATTGGATGTCTTAAGTGTCTTTTGTTCCTTTCTTTCTGATTTCCTATTTGTCTTCTGTATATGTTGGTTCCTTGGTTTGTAGATAAACTTTTTTTTTTCTCTTCATTGTTGGCATTTTTATTTTACTAGTGGGTTTTGATTTTTCTTGAGTTTTTATGGCAGTGGTAGTTATTTTTCAGGTACCAAACCCAGTACGCCCTTGAGAATTTCTTGTAAGGGTGGTCATGTGGTAGTGAACTCCCGCAGTTTTTGTTTGTCTGAGAAATATACTATTTGCCCTTCATTTTGGAAGTATAGCCTTGTGAGGTAGAGTATTCTTGGCTGGCAATCTCTATCTTTTAGTATTTTGAATATATCATCCCATTCATATCTGGCTTTTAGGGTTTGTGGTGAAAAGTCTGATATTAGTGCAATTGGGGCTCCCTTGTAGGTGATTTGACGCTTCTCTCTTGCAGCTTTTAACTGGTTAATCTCTCTGTTGTGTTTTTTATTTCATTGAATGAATTCTTCAGCTTGGCAAGCTCTGCTATGTTGTTTTTCAGGGCATTGATTTCCTTGTACATTTCTTCTTTCAGGTCCTGTATAATTTTCCTCCTTTCATTGTGTTGTCTAGCTGAGTTATTTCTTGTATCTAATTAAGTTTCCTTAGAATTATCACTTGAAATTCCTTGTCAGAGGTTTCAAGGGCTTCTTGTTCTATAGGATCTAGCGCTTGAGAGTTATTACCCTTTGGTGGTGTACTTTCTTGATTTTTCATATTTCTGGTATCTTCCTTTGATGTTTAGTCATTGTGGCAGGGGATTTCATGGTCCACTGGTTCAACACTATTTTCTGGCTAGGATGCTGCTGGGGCTGCCAATTTGGCATGGCTGCCTCAGTGTCTGCTTGGTTGCCCACTGGTGCCTCGGGTGCATGGTCGCCTCAAGTCTTGGGTCTCTCTGGGGAGGTGCCTCTCTGGTCAGTGTGCACTCAGCTGGGCTGGGGATGGAGTCAGGCAGTGGCAGTGAGGCCTACCTGCTGGGTCACGTGCTGGCACTGCACGGTGTGTTGTCTCTGTGGATCTTGGGCCTCTCTGGCTAGGCACCTCTCTGATTGGTGCACACTTGGCCGGGCTGGGGATGGAGTCAGGCTGGGGATGGAGTCAGGCGGTGGCAGTGAGGCCTACCTGCTAGGTTACATACTGGCACCACAGGGCGCATGGTCTCCATGGATCTTTGGCCTCTCAGGCTGGGTGCCTCTCTGATCCTAGCTAATACTTATTAAGGGCTTACTATAGGCCAAGGCCTGCTCTAATGCTTTACATTTAAGTCAGCCAATAATCTTGTATGTATGGTTATGGGTCTCACTTTACAGAAGAGGAAACTGAAGCACAGAGAGGTTAAATAACTTGATCAAGAGAGCAAGTAGCAGAGCTGGGATTTGAACCCTGTCTAACTAACCAGCCTCCAGAGCTCATGCTCTTAAACACTGTGCTATAATGATCAGCCAAAGACAAAAACAACTAGAAATTATAAAAATGAGTGTTTTTTACATGCTCCAGTTCAGATAGCAAACATTTTGCTGGATTTTTACTTCACTCTGGTCTGGGTGGATTAGCTTTCCTTTGAGGCCATTACAAGAATTATACTGGTTTAGCTTTCTGGGACTAGTGTTTAGTAGAGCCAAATTCTATAATGTAGTTTCTCTCTGGTATCCTCAGTTTGTTTCTTAGGATTGTCCTTTTTGGGGTTCACACTTGATAATAGATTTTTTGTTTGATAGGGGTTTGCTATACTTGTCGCATAACAGATTTTGAAAAGAAAGGACCAAATGGAGGTTAGGAATAGGTTAAATTTTGTCTCTCACACTGTGTGTTTGACTGGTAGTATATGTATTGATGAAAACTCTCGTTAGTATAACCCTAAGTATTTGCCCTAATGAGCTCATCATATTTTCAGTACCTACTAATTTTCTCTGGCTAATTTACCTTTTCTTTTATTTTTTACTTTCCTGGTTAAAGTGCCAGAACTTCTGAACTGAGTTGTCTGATAATCTTACCTCAGTTTTTTTTTTTTTTCCTTTAGCTATCCTATTCGGGAAGACCATGGTATTGGGACTCTGCAGTGCCATGTGGAAGGCGACTACATCGGTCTGTTAGAGAAGTAACAAAATTTTAAAATCTTCTTTCCTTCCTTTAGCTATCCTATTCGGGAAGACCATGGTATTGGGACTCTGCAGTGCCGTGTGGAAGGCGACTACATCGGTCTGTTAGAGAAGTAACAAAATTTTAAAATCTTCTTTCCTTCTTTCTTTGCATATGGAAACCAAACCAAACCAAACCAACCAAAACAGCAACAACAATTTCAAGAATTGGTTCTCATGAGGACCTTAGTAATAACTACCATTTATTGAGAATTCCCTGAAGAACACGATAAGAAACAGCTTTTATATAAACTAATTTAATCCTCACCTGTGATGTTGGTAGAATTATTTTTGCTTTACAGGTGAGAAAACTGAAGCTAGTGGATCAGGATTTAAGCACAATCAGTCTAACCTCCAAGCCTGGAGTCTCACCTGCTATGCAGTATGCAGTTGTCCTTTCGTTGTTGAAAGTCCACAGGGCTGATGGTGTTAAGCCTGTGAGGTGTTTGTTTTGGGCACTATTAAAGAAATTACAGGTTTGGGTAGTAACTTGAAGATATTAGAGTCCTTGGGTTTATGGTAGCAAACCTAGGAGATTTGCACAGATTCCTGTATTAATGTCTGTTTTTTTGTTTTACAGGTTCCCAGAATGTTAGTTTCTCAGTATTTAACAAAGGAAAGTAAGTAAATGGGAATAGGCAAATTTGTTTTTATCTTATATTATCTATCTTTCTCATCTTGCTTACTTTCTTTAACCTTTTATAGTACACAATTTCAAACATACACAGACAATAGTATAATAAAACCACATGTACTTGATTTCTTATACTTGGGTAAATATAACTGTGTCTTACGCACTCATCTACAGGCAATGAAAGTGTTTCAATGTAGTGATTGCACAAAACATTGGGAATTATTTCTCAAGTAATTTCAAAGTATTGTGAATCTAAAAAGTGTGAAATATAGTTTCATGAAATGCATTGTACCATTTTAGGAAATGTCTTCTTCAAGATGGAAAGAGTCCAAATTTTGTCAAGCTTTGGAAAGATAAATTAGGAGTCCAGATTTTTGAGTACCTTACCTCATGTTCTGCCACTATATAATTTGCCAGTTGTTTTCCTTAAAAATGTATTGTCTAGATGATATTAATTTCATTGTGATGATAATGACATGTTACCCATAGCTGTACAGACCAAAACATGTGGAAGTTATCTCTTTCTCTCTTTCATTTAAGAAGGAATAAAACTAATGTTTGCTGAGTATCTACTATAGGCTAGCTCAGTCTAGGCCCTTTCATGTTCCTCATTCCTTTTAAGTTTGTGATGCCCTGTGAAGTAGGTATTATTCCCATACAATAAATAATTTTGTAGAATAGAAAAAACTTTGACCCATTGGTATTTTTCTCTCATCATGGAAGGGAGCTGGTATCCAAACTGTTCTAAAGATCACTAGAGGTTAGTCCGTGATTTCCTTTTAGACAGCCTATTTAAAAAATGCAATCCCAGCCGATGTTTTCATCCAAAGCACAACTTTGTCTTTTTTGAAGGTCGATGGTACACAAGAGTGCATGGCTCATCAGTGCTAAACAGGACCTTTTCCTGTACCAGACACACTCAGGTACTATTTCTCTCCACCCTGTACTCCTTATCCCTTCTCTCATGCCCCACTCAACTGTAGACCCTTGGATCCTCCTCCCCTCACTTCTGGCCGTTTTCCTATGAGCATTTAACACCTAAAGCTGTCCCTACAATCAGGGATGGCTCTTTGGTTTTGGTTAATATTAAGTTGCTTGTGTCAGTGTCAGCTTTAGTTACTGTATTAAAAGAAGCTTGGTCGTAGAGTTCTATACAAAGTCTCTACAAAGTCTATAGATATAGATTGAGTGAAAGAAAGGGGAGGCATGCCATGTTCTATGTTCTGAAACATAGCAGAAAAGAGGTGACATTTAAAAATCTAAAAGCACATCTTTCAATTTATTCTAACACCCCATCTCTGAGCATTCATTCCAAAATGTATGACTTGCTGATACTGATGGTAGCTATTGTGTTGCAATCTCATGAGTAAACCCTCAAACTAAAAAACAAATGCTGAAAATTGAAAACTTGCATGGAATTGTGAACTCAATTTAGTAGTAGAAATTTAGCTACTAAAGAAGAGTACTTAGATTACAGTGTTGAATACAATTACAAGGCCACTGAAGAAATGTCTGTGAGGTAGGTGCACATTCCAGAAGCAATCATAATCTACTTTTGCCAAAAGTGCAAGATATTTCATAGGTCGTGGGGCAAATGACATTCACTATTTAAATGGTCTAATCCTGCAAAAGCTGAATTTTGATGATTGCCTCAAGATTTCCCTCTCTCATTTCCCTCATTTCTACGTGTATTCAATCACCAATTTCTGCCAGTTTTACCTCCCATATATTTCTTAAATACTTTATCTCTACAACCTAAATGGTCTAATCCTGCAAAAGCTGAATTTTGATGATTGCCTCAAGATTTCCCTCTCTCATTTCCCTCATTTCTACGTGTATCCAATCACCAATTTCTGCCAGTTTTACCTCCCATATATTTCTTAAATACTTTATCTCTACAACCATTGCCTAATTCTGAACCCCATCATCTCTGGCGTGGCATACTGTCTGGTTTCTAAGAGCCCCCCATCTGCCATCTGTCCCCTGCTGATCCACGGTCTGCATGGCCACTACAGTTCTCTATATCAGGCACACATCTCACGCTTCTTCCTTGCTTACCATCTTCTAAAGCCTTCCCATCCCCTACAGGACATGGTCTGAGCTTCTGATCTTCTCCTTCTCTGCTTCTCCAGCTCCATTGCTCTCTCTTTCATATTCCAGCAATACTTACAATTGCAATGCCCAGTGCAATTTCTTCTCTCCACACTCAGGCTGTTACTTCCTTTAAATACCCTCTCTTTCTCCCATTTACTTAGCCAGTTCTAATTCATCCTTTAAGATTCAGCTCAGATGTCTTCTCTAGAAATTTTCTTCTACTCTTCCATGCCCACCTACTCCTAAACTTGCCTTCTGTACTTTCATATACTCTTTCTAATTTGCTAACCCAAAGTCTTATAATTATACTTTTGTGCACCTGCCCTTCCTTACCATACTGGTCTCCTCGAGAGAAGAAGCTATTTTGTATTCATTTTTGTATCCCTAGCACCATAGAGTAGGTGCTCTGTGAATGTTGAAAAGAATTATGAGATATCTATAACCATGTTAAAAGATTACGAACTTTGTAAATTGTTTAGCCTGCATAATTTTGAATACATAATCTCAACACAAAGCTAATACAAAATTCCAGTGTCAGCATAAAAAAGAAAGAATGATAAAATAGTAGGTTAAACAAAGGGATTTTTTATTATTAGTGGTAAATTTTCACATTTGAGTATAACATAATCTTTGCCCCCATGTATCTCTACTTCATCTTATGGGCAAGCATAAGGAAACACTGCCCTAAAATTTGTATTTGGGAGTGGTGACCATTCATGATTAGTCTACTTGGACCTTCAGTTTGTCAGAAAACACAACTCCTCTTTCCCCTGGAGGGAATGAAACTTAGAACTGTCAAAGTCTGATCATGAGAGAAGAAAGGGTGAGATGAAGTTAAATTCTTGGGGATAATTGACACATGACCGTGGGGGGCTCAAACAATCAGGAGCAGTGTGAAAGCACTGGGCGTGAGGTAGAGAGAGCACAGGGGGCAGGAGCTCGTGGCGTGGGGAGAGTGGAAGGGTGCTGAGGACAGTTAGCTCATTCTTCTGCTTAGACCAAATTGCAGACTCATGGGTGAATTGAGGCCTTGACTGATATTCCAAAGTTGACTCCTGCATGTGGTGCAACCTACTGCTCCCTAACTTGTAAATGGAGTCTTTGAGGTCTGGAGACAGATTCCCAAGAAAGCATCAAGGCGTGTAGGGGCTTTTGTGATACTGTGAGTGACTCTGCATTCCCCCTTCCTTTCAAATATTGATCCTGTGTAACATATATTTACAGTCCTTTACTTATTATGTGTATTTTAAAATGGCTATTACTAGAAAAAATTCCAACTCTTGCTGGACTTAGAAAGTTAAAGTAGGAAATAAATTATTGATAGTTTCTATTATTATATTATTATCTGGGTCATATCCTTGTCTATATTTGGAATCTTACTTTTTTTTTTTTAAACTCTTGCAGAGATATTATCTGTGTTTCCAGAAAGTGGGAGCCTTGGGGGAAGAACAGACCTCATAATTACAGGAGACTTCTTTGGCAATCCTGCCCAGGTTACCATTGCAGGTAACTATGTTGAAATGCCTGAAAATAGTCCATAGTTTTAAGTGCTGTAGGAGATTATGTGTCTCTTATGGCATGAGGAGTGTGGGGGAAGCAACCTTTGCTGCTTCCAACTTATCTTGCCTAAGGTCTTTTACCTGTGTTTGGTTGGGACCAGGTGGGATTTCAGTCTTGCTGCTCTGCAAATGTGTGAAAGGAACAGGATATCCTGCAGACCTGCTCACAATACGTGGGCAATTCCCTCAGGTGTCCCTGTCTTGGGGGTGAAGAGAAGGAAAGAGTGCAGCTGCCTCTTCACAGGGGTCTATGCCTGCTAAAAATCCACTCTTCTCCCTACCCTCCCCCCTTAGCCATCTCTACAGAGACAAGCAGGAGTGGGTGGCAAACCTTTTGTGGTACTTGTCTATAACTTTTTGTTCTGCTGACCGGGTGGGATGTGCCTCTAGCTGGTGACACTGAGGATGCAGGGGAGTGTCCTCACAGTTCGTGTCACACTTACCCTCCAAGCTCAGAATCCCCAGTGAATGGCATTGCACTACATGGCTTTCTTTCAGATTCCTCTAAGGTACTCTCACTTTCCTGGCCTTCTTCAACTGGGGTGACAACTTTTGCTATTCTATCCACATCCAGCCCTTTGCCTTAGAATAGGAGCCTGTCTACTTCATTCTGGCACTGCTGTGACACATATGTATCTATATATCTGTATCTATAATTTTTAAAATTCTTTCAAGGCATTCCATGCGATGTTAAACATGTCTCTCCCAGAAAGATTGAGTGCACCACTAGAGCTCCAGAAAAAGATGCAAGACTCACTGCTCCTCAGGCAGGTAAGGAAGTCATCAGGTCTGTTGAATGAACTCTCCGGTTACGTTTGTAATCATACAGGGCTGGGGCTAGAAATCAAAGTGTTTGAATTCTGCCTCAGCTCTTTGACTGGTTAGCTTGGTGAGACCCGGGTCCATGGTACCCCGGTCAAGGCTTTCATATCAGGGAGGCTCTTAGTGTTCTCAGGTACTTAGCGACACTGCATTCCTAGCCCCAGCCAGACATATGGCCAGTGTGGTTCGGTGAAGACCATGATCCAGAAAGCATAACTGCCATGAAGACATTTCTGTAGCTACTGGAAGAAATCCTCAAACTGCCTCCCTTCCTATGATGGGTCAGTGCATTCCCATTGTCTAAGAAGATAGGAGCATTAGAGACAGGATGCTCTTCTCTGATCATAACAACAGCATTAGACGAGGCCAGAGAATAGGGCACAATGGGGTGCATCTAAATGTTGCCTTTTTTCCATTGTGGGCATTTGTCATTTTTGACAAATAGGGATGTATTGTGACATTGCTACCAGCTTATGCCTGACGTGGGCAGAAGTGTAGGAGATAATGAAGCAGGTTCCACCTGTCCTTCTTTGTTTAAAGCTTCCACCTCACGGCTGCAAATTAAAAGCACAACATTGCAACACTTTCTGCTAAACATTGGAACTGGAGGCTCAAGTGTAGTTAGGGATTAAAAGTGGTTGTTGTGTGACAGCCCAGAACCATGGCTGCACGTCTGTGCAGAAGGGGCTGACTTAATGGTTAAACTGCAGGCAGTGAGAGTCACCTTGAGAGGCTCGCTCAGCACCTATACGGGAAGCTGCCCAGTGGGGGAAGAAAATCTAAAGAAAGGCCACTCAGGTGTGAAAATGCATGCAAAGCTTCTGCTGGAGAATTCTCCAGCTCCCAGATCTGCAGTTTTTACCCAGGGAAAGTTCCCATCCGAGGAAATAAAATTACTGAAACAAGTAATCCAGAGAATGTGTTTCCTGTGTAAGTAAATAGAAAGCCTGCTCCCTCTATGAGCACTTCCCGCTTTAGCTACCTGGATAGTGGTAGGATAATTTACTGAATGTGGTTAGTTGTACAGTTAGTAATGTCCTTTATGAAGAGCTTTCAAAGTTTGTTTCCATAGAAGTGGGGAAAATTACTACATTAAGTAACGGTTCTCAACCTGGGGTGATTTTGCCCCTCGGGGGACATTTGGCAATGTCTGGAAATATTTTTGGCTGTTACACCTAGGGTGGTGGTAGTGATACTGGCATGTGGTGGGTAGGGGACAGAGATGCTGCTAAACACCCTGCAGTGCACAGGACAGCTCGCATAGCGGAGTTATCCAGGCTGCAATGTCAATAGTGGTGAGGTTGAGAAACCCTGGTTTAAAGTAACATTCTTAAAATACGCTCTTACTTTTCTGCTTATTCCTTATCTACCTCTTTATTTTAGGAGTCAGTGAGAAACAACAGTAGCAGTTTAAAATAATAATAATTGCCATAGTTATCCTTTACTGAGCACCAACTATATTTCAGGCTCTGTGTATATATTTCTGGCTCCCTTAGTCCTAGCATATTATTTCTATTTATTATTGGCCCCATTTTGGTGCATGAGAAAATGAAGACACAGGGGAATTAAACTATTTGCTCAAACCTACGCATCTACTAAGTGGCAGAGCTGGAATTTGAACCCACAGCTGTATGATTACAGAGCTTTCACCCTCAACCCAAGTTAGTGTCCAATGTTGAATTTGCTCAAACCTACGCATCTACTAAGTGGCAGAGCTGGAATCTGAACCCACAGCTGTATGATTACAGAGCTTTCACCCTCAACCCAAGTTAGTGTCCAATGTTGCTTGCACTCGTGCTTTTGGCTTGGTTTGCTTAACATAAAACAGAAAGTAATAAGTACAACATCATTTAAAATGTCACATAATAACAGCATGTTACATAACTGGTTCTAGGTGGACGTTCACAAATTGAGGCCGTGGCACTTGAAAAATTTAAGTATTGACAAATTCGGCGGAAAGTTTCTGGTCTTTTAGGGCCTAGAATTCCCAGGCTGAACTTGACCTTAAAAGATACTGAAGTCCATTTTTGGCTTCAGAAAGCACAAAGACAAGTCACATCGCAAGCACATAATCACATTGCCCTCCTTTTACCCAACCACAGTACTGTTTGCTCTTTGACATTTTCTCCTGGACTTGATACTGCCTTAGAAAGGGCTTCCTTCTCTTCTCTGGTCCTCTGAGAATGTCTCCCCTTACTCTTTCTTATCGAGTCTCTCTTTCCAAGAGGCCGCATCTTACCCCAGTGAATATTTTCTGCTTTCCAGAGCACTTTTATTATCAATAGATGATACACATGACCACTTCATGTGTTGACTCACCTTTACAGATAGTACCTGGATCATCTTTTGCTCTGTAATTTGAAATAAAGTAGTTCCTCAATTTTGGGAGGAATACCCTCTGACGTTTATTAGACATACATATCTTACAGGTAATCGTGGGCTTCTTTTTGAAGTTGGAGATGCTGCTGAAGGCTTGGACCTGACTGACGCCACCCCTGGGTACAGGTGGCAGATTGTCCCTAATGCCAGTTCTCCATCTGGATTTTGGTCAAAGGAAGGACAACCTTTCAGGTATGTTATCAGAAAAGTGGAAGTCCATATCAAAAGCATCCTTATTAGCCTAGGTGAGGCTAGGATACAGCCAATTCAACAACAGAGTTTGATAGTGTTCTCAACCAGTATTGGTCTCACTAGTAACCAACAGACACTTTGTAGGTGCACTATAAATTTTGATCAATATGTAAAATTTATATTTTCTACAATTCAGTTTACAATCCTCTTTGGAGATGATTATCAATCAGAACACTGAGCTGAGCAGGCTGGGAGACTTGGTAGACAGCAGGATAAAACTTGCTGCAGGGATTGTGGTTAAGAAGGGAAACTAACATCTGGTTGATGCTAATGACAGATGCAAGACTTTGCCCTTTGGGCATATGAGGGAGGAAAGGCTGGGCAGCAAGTGATCTGTTGAAACAACTACCCAAGGCTGAAGGTCAACCCAGTGACCTGTGTATGGGGGAAGCTCTTATGGATTCTGCAAGACATTGTTTTCTGTAGTAGTGACTGCATTGTGATTGTGATTTTCCTGTTTCCTGTAGTCTGAAGTCTTTTTAATCCCTTCAAAGATTAAAATGTTTACTATTCTTAAGTGAGCTTAAAAATACAGAAAGTTTGAGAATTACTTAGACAGCGTTCACTTAGTGTGCTCTCTGTGCATATGCGCAGTGATTAATCCTTTACTGTGTGACCAATCTCTTCTCCCTTTGAAATCTCAGAGAGGTTGGTTCTGACTCTTGAGTTTGAATTTCAGCCAATCCGTGACTTCCTCCAAGATTCTTATCATTTTATGTCTCAACTCAATGGTGGAAACAAAGGCTTTGTTCCTTGTTTAGGGAATTTCAGGGATGAAGAAGCCAAATCGGGAAGAAAATCTGTGAATGGAGGAGCATCTCCTGAAGCCTTACTAAGTAGGCATTTAACTGCCAATTTATGGTTCTAAAGTGGCAGTAATTTGCAGTCAACTGTGGCACCTAATAATGCACCTTTATTGTATTTTTTGAGGACCATTGATAATGTTCAAAGGAAAACCTTTCATCTATATTCAGTGTGTTTGGGAGTGTTAAGGAGTGAATCAGACCACCTCAAAAGGCAAAGAACATTTTGATTAATATGGTGGGAACTGTAGGGTATGTTCCTTTAACAGCCATTCTGAGTCACAAACCAGATAGTAACTCACTTTCCATTTCCTCTCTCATTATTTTTTTTAAAAATTGTACATTAAAAAATTGGAATACTTGTCTGTTGATTGGTAAATTAATATTATTATGTTGATGGACCTTTAAAATAGCTATTTTCAAAACTATTTTTAAATATAAAATTCTCTCTTAAGATAAAAGTAATGTGTACATTAAAGCAAAATTAAAAACCTCTTTATATTGGTTATCTGAAGATTTAAAAAATAACAAGCAGACGATATTCTTGATATTTATTTGAGTAGTTTAACGAGTGTCTTAGTCACATTTATCTCTGACATAGTTCACTAGAGTTTATCTTATTTTTTAAATGTTGATTGAACTATTGATTGAGTTCCTGCCATGGCCCAAGGCCTGTATGGCTGTGTTTGGTGGTTTTCTCAGCTGAGCCTCCACACAGTCCTTTGCTGTGGCTGTGATGTTCCCAAAGAGGACACAAGTGCAAGGAGATTTGTGGCCAGTGAAGAGACGATTGGGACACTGAGACTGTGCAGGTGCTACAGTTCTTTCTAGAATACTCTGGACAATCACATGGTATAAGAATCAGGTTTCTCTTCCTTACTACCATAAAGAAAAACAAAGTACAAGTGCAATCATTTGTTGGTTTGGTGATTCAGGCCTTGGCTACTCTTGTTTAACTCTGTGATCTTCTTCTTTACAGAGCAAGGCTCAGTGGATTCTTTGTGGCTCCAGAGACAAATAATTACACTTTCTGGATCCAAGCAGACAGCCAAGCTTCTTTGCATTTCAGTTGGTCAGAGGAACCAAGGACTAAGGTATTTACCTTCCTCTCATTTTCCTTTCCTTTTCTTTCTTTCTTTTTTTTTTTGATGACCGGTAAGGGGATCTTAACCCTTGACTTGGTATTGTCAGGACAACACTCTCCCAAGTTAGCTAACCAGCCACCCCTTTATAGGGAGTCGAACCCTTGGCCTTGGTGTTATCAGCACCACACTCTCCCGAGTGAGCCACAGGCTGGCCTTCATTTTTCTTTTTTTTTTGATGACCGGTAAGGGGATCTTAACCCTTGACTTGGTATTGTCAGGACCACACTCTCCCAAGTTAGCTAACCAGCCACCCCTTTATAGGGAGTCGAACCCTTGGCCTTGGTGTTATCAGCACCANTTTTTTTTTTGATGACCGGTAAGGGGATCTTAACCCTTGACTTGGTATTGTCAGGACCACACTCTCCCAAGTTAGCTAACCAGCCACCCCTTTATAGGGAGTCGAACCCTTGGCCTTGGTGTTATCAGCACCACACTCTCCCGAGTGAGCCACAGGCTGGCCTTCATTTTCCTTTTCTTTGTCCCCAGTCCTATATCCCTGAAAAAAGAGAAATCTAAAGCTAAAGCTCTCATATTGTACAGGTAGTTGTAACATGCCATTAGGTGACCAGGGACTTTAATTGTTGAAAAAGAATTTGGCTAGATGTAATGGTATCTACCATATATTGAGCATTTACTGTAAGCCAGACATTATGCTACCTCTTTTACATACCTTGTCTCTGATCTTCACTGCCTCTCTGTGAAATATGTATATTTATCTCCATTTTCCAGATGAGGAAATTGAGGCTCAGAAGGATTGTGTAGCCAATCCAGGACCACTTGTATAGCAAGAGGCATATTCAGGATTCAAACTCAGATTTGTCTGACGAGGAAACTTGTGCCTTTTCCACTAATTTGGGGTAGAGATGTAGTCAGCCTTGTGCAGGAATCTCCCCATCAACTTTAAAGGATAAGAAAAGATGCCCTTAATAAACAGCCAAAATTCAGTTGTACCATTGACAAAACACTACAATATTTTTTCACAAATTATTAATATGCTTCCTTGAAATTGGTTCGCTACTTGGTTAGAGAAACGTCATAGATTTTGATGGGGTCAAGTTATTCTAAGTCTCTCAAAGGCTAAATAGTACTTTCTCCACAGCATCTTGTAAACCTAGGGTTTTAGGTGGGTTACTCCTGCTCTAAACCACGGTCCATCTAGCCTCGTTTGAATACTATTCAATTGAAAAAGAAAGAGAGAAAGAAGGAGGGGTGAAGAAGCATAAACAACCACAGGGCTGAGGTGGCTGGGATAACTTGTTGGAAAAGACAGACCAGTTAAAAAGGCTCTTGTTAGTAGCTGTTCAGACACTTCGTGTTTGAGAAGGAGCTGCCCAGAAGCGTCCTAGTGTTGATCCTGATGTGCTTATTCGGGCACAGGTGAAAGTGGCTTCCATCAGGGCTGACACCGCTGACTGGTTTGACTCCTGGGAACAGAATGGGAATGCAGGGACCTGGCAACAGAAGACCCCCAAGTTGGAGCTGTTGGGTGGAGCCAAGTACTACCTTGAAGCAGAGCATAATGGAATAGCCCCCAGCAGGGGGGTGAGAATTGGTGTCCAGATTCATAACACCTGGCTGAATCCTGATGTGGTCACCACTTATCTCCGAGAGAAGCACCAGATCCGAGCCCAAGCCCAGAGACTTCCAGAAATACAGGTCTGAGTCTCTTCCAGTCCCATGGAACTGATCTGTGAAAGGAATCCAGTCTTGCTTAGTAGAAGGGTCACAGGCTGTGAGCCAGGAGACCTGAGTTGTAATTATAACTCCACTGCCAAAAAAGTAGGGTATCTATCCAATAGGGTTGTGAAGACATTTTTAAAAAAATACTCATTGACTTAGTTTTAGGAATTTAAGTTCCAAGCAAATCTTCTTTTGGAAACTTATTCCCCAGAGTAGAGATAAGGTCCTGCACACACAAGTACACACATGTATGCACCCATGCATTATGGCACATGTGCATGCACATGAACACACACATGTAAAGTTCCATGGTTTTTTGACCAATTTAGGTCCTATTTCCCTAACTGCAATGTTTTCTACATCTAGTTTGTTTAGGTATGTCCTTTGAATCTCTCAGTTGTGCCCCATACAA